CTTTTTCCTGGGAATTTTATTTGTATACCCTTTATTCATTTCAATTGCGAAATAAACAGGGTATAGTCTGTTGCAAGGCAGAACAAAATAGTTTCATATGTATCAATATATGTCCGCCTGTCGGTTTGTCTGTGTATAACATCGATCTCAGGCAGCATCTGAGCTGGGATTGTCGTATATTATAAGCTGAAAAACTAAAACCTTCATTTCATTTCGGATTTAAGGTAATTCTCTGAGGCAATTTTGAACAAATGTTCCTAACCCTATACACAGTTAGGAATTATTGATGTTGTGTGGTACGGTATCTCTTTTTTTTTTTTTTTTTTTTTTTTTCAAAACTTAATTTGGTTTATTTTGCGCTGGAATCGATCAGTGCCTTCTGATCTCTACCAAGCGGAGTTAAGGGTATAGTGTATAGTTATTATTTAATAACTTAAATGATAATTACAGACTTAAAAATATATAACAATAATGGGAAAGGGATGTTTAAGTGATGTGCCTCGTTGGTAGGTCGTCGGGGTGTAGCCTTCGGAGGCGCCTCTCACTGATGGGCTCAGCCAGGGCCCTTGCGGCCGCGTTCGGATGCTGCACCAATTTGTCGGAGTATCGGCTGCTGAAGAAGTTGAGCTGATCTCCGACCTTTGTTAGGCGGAGATCGCGTTCGATGGCGTCTGTTGTTACGTACCATGGCAGGCCAGCAACCTTGCGTGCTGCCTTGGCTTGGACCACTCTTATGCGACGGAGCTGGTGTGCTGATGCCGTGCCCCAAACTTGGATCGCATATGTCCAGATAGGCGTTACCATCGTTTTGATAAGCAGTGTCTTCGTGGATATGTGCAGCTTGCTTTGAGGCTTTAGTAGCCAATCGAGCTTTTGAAGTCTTCTCAGGCATTTTGCTCTCGTTGCTGCGATGTGAGGCCCCCATATGAGCCTTCGATCCAGGTGGACACCCAAGTAGCAGAAAGAGTTGGTCTGCTCAATGGTTCCTCCATCGAACCGTAGCCCCTGGCAGCTGTATGGGCGCAGCGTAAAAGTGACGCAGGCGGACTTGGCACAGTTTATAGCGATGTTCCACATAGCTGTCCAGGTTTCGATCTGCAGCAGCCAGTCCTGCACTGCACTTGTAGCAGCTTGCAGATTTTTGTGGGAGGCTAGGAAGGCAGTGTCGTCCGCATATGTTGCCACCAGCAGTCTCGCAGGGCTGAGGTCTTCGTTGCTTTGTCCTTGTGTGGGCAGGTCCGCCGTATACAGCGTGTACAGCATCGGACCGAGGACGCTGCCTTGTGGGACACCTGCTCTGATGCCCTTAATTGCCGACCTTTGGTCTTTAACGGCCACATTAAAGGTGCGTCCTGCCAGAAAGGAGCTAAGGATGCTGAAGTATGGCGCTGGGAGTATCAGTTTGATCTTGAACAGAAGACCATCGTGCCAGACCTTGTCAAACGCTTGTTTGACATCGAGGAAAACGCCGACGCAGTATTGCTTCTGCTCAAAAGCTTCTAGTACGTGTTTTACTGCCCGGTGGACCTGCTCGGGGCAGCCGTGAGACTTTCTGAAGCCAAACTGATGATCCGGGACCAGGCGCGTGACCTCGTCGAGTTCTAAGAGACGGCTTAGCAGAAGTCGCTCAAAGACTTTCGAGAGCGTCGGCAGAAGGCTTATAGGGCGGTAGGACTCAAGTTGAGTTAGCGGCTTACCGGGTTTGGCGATCATCACAATTTTCGCATGTTTCCATTGCTTCGGAAAGTGGCCAAGGCGGAGCATGGAGTTGAAAATTGTGGCGAGCGCCATGACTCCTTTGCGTGGGAGAGCCTTAGCTGCTCTGTTGTCGATTTCGTCGCATCCTGGGGTCTTCTTTAGCTCAAGCATTTTCAGCTGTGTCCCGATTTCCGCGGGGGAGATGCTTCTTATCGGGAGAGCCATCTGCAGTGGAGCGTCCAGTGACTCGGCTACTTTACGGCGCTGAGCAACATCTGCGAAGTCGAATGGCTTGAAGGTTGTCTCCAAGTAGTCAGCAAACGCGTTGGCCTTTTCCTCGTCCGATCGGAGCCAGAGGCCAGAGTGGTCCGTGATCGGGGAGGTAAAAACTGGTTGCCTCTTAATGCTTCTGGTGAGCTTCCACACTGAAAAGGTGCTGTTGCCGTCATGCCCAGTTGTTTCGAGGAGGCTGTCTAGATTTTCCGTTCGAGTCCTAGCCAGCAGTCGTCTGAGCCGGTTGGACGCGCTTACCATTTCTGCCTTGGTAGAGGGGTCTCCGTTGCGGATGTACAGCCTCCTTAGACGTCTTTTGTCGGCAAGGAGACTCCTGGCTTCAGGGCTTAGTAGGGACCTTCTGAAGGTACGAGAGTGAGGCAGGGTTTGCGGGGCTGCACGTCTAGCAGCTTCCGTAATTTTCGCTGTGAGGTGGTCAACGTAGCTCTCCAGTTCACTTGCCGTATTTATGGTGACGTTGAGCTCTAATGTGTCCTCGAGGCAGGCCCGGTATACTCCCAAGTTAGAGCGCGGCGGGAGCATTTTGCGGATTCCAACTTCCCACTTGGGAGTCTCCTCGAGCTCAATCAGTAATGGGAGGTGATCCGACGTCAGGTCAAGGAGGCTTCGTATTCGCAGCTGTTCCTGTCTGAATCCCTTGTAGAGCCCGAAGTCAAGTGCACTTGGTGTTGCAGTAGCCCTATATGGGTAGCACGTTGCCTCTCCAGTGGCTATGACTTCGATGCCTTCATTCTCAATGGCAGAGAAGAGCGTTCTCCCTCGGGGGCACATGCGACGGTATCTCTTAGTCGGACACGCTCGATTAGAGCACCTTTTCGTGTTTATTTTTCCATACACATACAGTGAGGCATAAATATTGTAGCGGCGTTCATTTAGCCTGCCCAGCCTCAAATTTTCGGCACGACCATCGAATCCAGATTCAACTTCTGCTCTGTGCCTGGAATCCTTTCTCCGACCGGGTGCCAAAAGTCAACAAATAATATTTTTGCATAAAAATCGTCGCTGAAATGAAAATATCCCGCTGCACCCAGTCGAAGGACACTCCGATAGAGTAGGCTTAAAAGCCCGGCAAAGCAAACAGAATGCAATACATACGAATGCAGCTGGCCGTGTATGTATGTATATATGTGTGTGCGAGAAATCTCAATTTGGACAGAATTTAATCAATATGTGCCTTACGAAGATGGCCAGTCGAGCTGAACACTTGGTGCCGAATGCAGTTGCAGGCTCAGTTTTTGGCTGCTTATAAATTTATGCATAAATGCAAATAGAATTTCATAAATTGTCATTTAATTGCACTTTAGACAGCAACAAGGCTCGAAAAATGATATGCAAAATAGATACGGCGCTTCGGTCTATTCAATATTAATGCCATTCATGCGTGTAGCCTTAAGCCTCAACGGTTGGGTTAGCCTGGGCTGAAATGCAAAATGCAAAGTGCGCAATGCTGTCGAAAACTATGCATTCGTTTTTTTCTTTAAAGCTTCAACCAATTTCAGCGTCTGGTTTAAGTTTTGCATTACAATTACGTATACAACATATACTGAGTTCCTCAGAAACCTATACAAACAGCTGAGACAGAGTGAAATATTCTTTGGCTTACAAAAAAAAAAAAAAGTAAAAAAACGAAACAAAACAAAACGAACGAAAGAAGGAACATTTTATGGCACGCAGCGAAATCTAGATAAAGCTTGGCACATATACTATATATGTGTGTGTGGAGAAAACAACAACAAGAACTGTTCATGTGTATTTGCACAATGCGAAAAAGTAAACAAAAGGCGGCATTAAACAAATACACAAATACACGCACGCGTAAGCAAACTGCCCAACAGCCAGAAAGTATGCTTTACAAATGCGTAACATACACATCAACACACACACACACACAGAGCAGGCAAATGGGGTATGGTGCTGCGTTTTGTTATGCTTTTGTTGTTTGTTTTCGTGTCTTCCTTGTTACTTCTGCTCGCATTTCTAGCAGCGCGCACAAATGTATGCAACAGAAATTGCGAGTGCCTGCATTTCGCTTGAACAATTCCTGAATTTCGTCAAAGGAATTTGGTACACGCCACAAGCTCTCTCCTTTTCTCCCGCTCTCGCTCTCTCTCTTTTTTTTTTGTCTCTCTGTTGGTTCTTATCACAATTTATTATCACTTATTTTCGACAATGTCTAACCATTATCAAGACCCTCGCCTAAATGGCTGTTGCCGCAGCGCCGATAGTTAAATGCAGCGCATTTTAAGGCACTTTATTTTTGGCCCCGTCGCCTCCATCTCACACACTCCTTTGAATTCCTCCCTTTAGCCTGATATGTGCGCATAAATGTGCGCCAAAAAGGCAGTCGCATTTATTTGCTAGAGTTTTGGTTTTATTTTTGTATTTTCGTAGGCCCCTGCGGCCGTTTGGCATCTCTTTTTTCTGTCGGTTTGTTTAGTGCACTTGTTGTTGTTGTTGTTGTTGTTGGTGTTGTTGTTGTTGGTGTTGTTATTGTCGACTATTTTCACTCCACTTTCGAATGTTTTTATCCCTAAAGTCTGCTTGCGGATATGCACACACTCTCACACACAAGCACTCGCTTTCAAACAAACAAACCAATACACACACACCGAACGAACATTGAGAAAAAAGATTGTTGGAAAAACAATAAATGGCAAATGTATTGCGGCATTTTAGGCGCATGGCGCAAAACAAAAGGCCTGCAAATTTTGCAAAATGCTGTTGGCCTCTGCCTATTTTTGTGCTTTCGTTTTTACGTTTTTTTTTTTGTGTTTTTTAGTTTTCATGTTTTGCATTTTTATAGCAATATGGAAAATGGAATTTTTTCGTGACCGTTGCGCGCTAAACATTTAAGCGAGTCAAGTGGCTTTTGCAGAGGGGGATACAAGGCGATTTGCATATGACTGTCACGGTGTGGGTTCAATATGGCCCAAATACTCTATATATATACATATATATAGATATATATATGGATTTGGGAGAGTGTATCATCTAAAAACAATACTCACTTAGATTTCCACTAGGAATGTAAACGTTGCCCGATGGCGTCCGCACCAAACACGATGGCTCAAAGTCAACGCCCAGATCATTGGGATTGTTAGCAACAGCGCCGGCAATTAAACGAGCATTATTCATGCGACTCATTGTCGGATTACGTGGCGGAACATCCGGTGGTGCTGTTGGCGTGACTCCCTCCAGGAGAAAGCCTGCAAATAGTGATAAAGAAGCACAGTGTTTGACAGTGAGTGGGCATTTATTATAACTTATAAATCGTAGCTGGCAGCTGTAAAAGCATTTTGATTTCTTATTCAGTGAAGGAACTAAAAAACAACCGAATACCCCGAATAGACTTTTATTCAAAACCCTCTACCCATTTAGTAGTAGAGTATAAGAGATTTGTGTACAGAGTAATTGCTAGCCGGCCATTTGTCGCGCTTGGCACTCTTGTTTTTATTTATATTTTTTATTGCACAATTGACATTAAATATATGCAGTGAATTTTTAAACAACTACAAATGGAAATTGTGTATAAAGCGCTCGGCTGACTGCCAGAGCATACAATCAGTGCGCATTGAAACCCGAAAATCAGGCGAAAAATAAAAATGAAATTATTTAGCAGCATTGAAAATTCAATTTGTAGCTGTGCCGCAGTAGACAAACACCAAGCAACAAACATACAAACACACGCCTACACATACATATAGACGTGCCTGCGATATAGAGCGCCTAGCAAAAGGCAATTTGAAAATCAAAAGCAAGCCGCCTCCCCAAGTAGCAAGCAGCTGCGAAAGAAATCGAAATAAAATTCAATTTGCTGCGCTGAAAAATTTGAATGTCGTCGACAAGGACAACCTCCAGGAGACAGCTCCAAATGCCTTTGAGAAGCATGTACACACACACACACACACTCACGCATTCACACACAGATAAAAAGGTATTCATCTGTGTGTGCGTGTGTCTGTGTGTGTGCGTGTGTGTGTGTGTGTGTGTGTGTGCCAACTCCCTGAGCATGCCCTCCTGGCCAAACGCGAGCTCCTTGCTAAGTATAATAAATTTCAAAAGCATTCGCATTCATTCGCATAGAAAAGCTCATTTATAGGCTTAAGAGGCGCGGCTGTGTGGCAGTGGCAAGTGGTCTGGGTAGGCTGCGGGGCGTAGGGTGCGCTAAACAGGATTCTCGACAAATTCAAATGCCAAAAGCAAAAACAACAAATTCATAAAAAGCAAACGGCAAACGGACGGAAGCGCCGATGGCCAATGGAAGAAATTCGAAATTGTTGAGATTTGCTTAGCGCGAAAATTATATCCTGCCGTCGTCGCACCCCCTCCTATCCTATTCGTCGACTGGGGCTGCGGCAAGCCAAGCAACAAGGACTGTTGACAGTGTGTGAATGCTGTTGCCTAGTTTTTTGACTGCCAGGAGCAGACCAGACCAGTACCAGGACCAACCAGGACCCTTCGCAGTCCAATCGCATTGCGTTAGGCTTAGACGATTTGGCTGCTTACTCTCCCCATCTCTATCTCTCCACTGCGGTCAAATGACTGGAAGAGCGGGCAAGTGGCCAGCTCTGAGGCAGTGGGAAATTTAAGCTGCGGAAAATATGACACCAGCTTGCGATGCGGCCTGAATGGCCGTAGGGCCTGCGCATTATCATCATAATGAAACGCGCCCGACTAGCCCGCCAGCGACACAGGCACAGAAGCGGGAGCCGAAGCCGGGGCGGGAGCGGAAGCTGAAGCAGGCAGGATACTGGCTGACTGCTGCCAGCAAAGATTATTTCACGCGGTTAAACACAGTAGCAAAGTTGGCCGCATTTTTCAACGGAAGGAGCACAAATTCAAAATTGGCATTGCATGGCGACAAAAAGGGACACGGAGGGGCTTTGTCGGTCAGTTGTGATTAAAAGCAGCGGGCAGAATGATGGGTGGGGGTTGGTGGGGCTGTGGCTAAAATATTTGTGGACTTTTGTCTTTGGCTTGTGTGTAATTAGATTTAAGATTTAAGGCGCTTAACGCTGATGAGCAGCAAATTGAAATTGCCAACAGCTGACTGCCGCTCACAGGGCGTATGCGCAATGTCGCATTCGCATTGTATTGAAAACTAAAAACTGTTGAAACTTTTTGGGATTTCGGCGCCACCCCAACTTAAGTGGGCGCCCCGCATCTGCTGCGCATCTGCTGCATCAACATAATGCCACAAAGTTGAGCATCCACAGCACGAGTCACAACATTAGCATTGCATTTTAGACAAATTATTTTGCCATCAAGCGTAAAAGTTAAGCTCCACTTCTGGCATTTGCATACACAGACGATAACATTATTTAAATACACACAAGAAACTGCGGCTGGGGGCAGCTGGAGCGATAATCGGGCAGGGTGAGGCGGTGCGGGATAGGGCATTGCAAAGGGAGTAGCTTGTGGCTTTCACATACACATTAGTCTAATATTAAACAACGAGTGGCAAAATGTCAATTGTGCTTGCATCTCTCTCTCTCTCTCTCTCTCTCTTACAGTCTCTTAGCCAAAATATCTCCTTTGGCAGGACTGCTGTCAGGTTTGCGGGCTTAGCAAAGCAGCAAAAAAGAACAAAAACAACAGCTAAACGAAAAAAAAAAATAACAGCGAAAGCAAACGACATCGACAATGGCAACTCGGGCGGCCAAACAAAAGTCGCTGCAATGGTCCACGTTCCCTTTGGCCGTTAGCAGCCGCATTCGGAGAGGCGTAGATGCCAGCCAGGAACAGTCAATGTGAATGCCAAGCGCTGGGTTAAAGCGCAGGCAACAACAAATGCAACAACAACAAAAGAAAAAAAAAAACAGCAGCAACAACAACAACAACAGCCAGGCAATGGCGCTGATAAGCAGCTTATCTTCATTTCTACAACCTCCAGCGTTTATTTTTGTGTGGGCGTTGTTTGTTTGTTTGTTTTTTTTATTGTTGTTGTTGTTGTTGTTGTTGTTGCCATTGTCGTTGTCATTTTGAATGCGAATTGTCGTCGTTGTCGTTGTCATCCATGTTCTTGTTGGTGTTGTTGTTGTTGTTGCTGTTGCTGCTGCTTTCTGAATACGCAAAATGTGTAATGGCATTTCGTCAGGCGGAGCATGAAAATGCGACAACACACACACACACACACACACACTCACACAAACTGCAAATGCAAATGTGTGTATGTGTGTGGTCGTGTGCGTGGCAAAGCAAATTTGCCCTACCGAGTTTTTTGGCCCTGTGCAGCGTTTGGCATTTGCTCTCCTCTGCTTTCACTAGACTCATCTGCACCCCTGCACGGCCCCGCCCGAGGGCTGATGGCCCTTTTTGGTTCGCAGCTTAATGCTTTTATAATGCACTCGACAACAAATGAAAATGAGCACAGCAAATGGCAAAAGTATTTACAGTGTTGCCTCAATACAAGCTCCACACCAAGTAAACTTCAAGAGCAGTTCGCCTCGTAGCCCAACTCTTAACTAGCCCAACTGCAGTTGCCAAGTATGCTGAGTACTGCAAGAAGGCAGCTTTACGCCCAAATATGTTACGTTAATTCAATTAAAAGCATCTTGGGTTGGTGTCGGCTGCCGGTGCGCCAGCTATGGGGCGTGGTAGGGGCCGGGGTGTGGCAGGGTGGTGCCGAAAAACGACACCAGCTGGTTGCGGCACGCCAGGAATGAACAATGCAAAAGAGGCGGGCGGTCATGCCAACGCTTCTGCCAAGGTGCCAACAGCAAAAATAACAAAAACAATAACAACGTCATCAACATTTTCCTGTCCGCCTTCATCTTTACCAGCTTCATTCACAGTCTCTCGTCCTGGCGAGAAATGTAAAACACTTTTGGCATGACAGCTGAAATGTCAGTTAAGCATGAATTGTCCCAGTCCCCCCTCCCAGCCCTCACTGAAGACTCAGGAGCAGTAATCAAATTGTGTCTGCGCTTCTCCATTTGAATCGGGCTCCAGTGGCCGGCAAGGTGGGCACCAACTGAACTGAGCTGCTGTTGTTGGCAGCAGCATCTTTATTTTCATTTTATTTAAACTTGTTGCCTTGGCGGGTTAACTGCGAATTAAGTGAAGCAGTTTCCAAACGGTGTCGGGTTTATGAATGTCTACGGCACAGCGTTGAAAATATATAAGTTTATATTGGTGAACTATTTCGTATTTTCGTATGATTTTTACGTTTCATTCATTCATATTACAAGATATTTCGACTCTCCTTGAGAATCGACTTAAGGGAGAAACGTAGTAAAGCAGGATAAAGTGTGGAATTGTGGTTTCGGGTTCGGCTATTCTTTAGTCAGTCAATGCAGCCTTAAATTCGGTAATAAATTTGTCAGCATGATCATGTTATCATCAAAATTTCAGATCGACCTGAGACCAAGAAGTACAATGTCTGTGCTATGTGCCACACTGCGTATACGCAATTTAGCTGAGTGAGTGCTTTGTTTTTGTTTTGTTAGTGCCCGCTGCGGCTGCTGTCGCTGCCATTTCGTTGATAAGCAGATGTTGCAGAAGTCCATACACTCATACACACACACACACACACACACACACACATAGATAGGCACAGACACATGCTCATAGAGAGACAAACAATAGGAGCCCCAGTTGACAATTGTTTAGCTGCGTGTGCGTCTATGTATGCTTGTGTTTGCCTATGTTTGTTTATGTACTATCAGTTGACTGCACCTAGTTAGAGACAGTTCCGCCTAACCAGCCCCTAAACATACCGGCTCTATGCTGGGCCCCGACTATAATGCGGGCCATCTATATGCGTGTAAACGTTTGCCGTTTGCCTCTGTTTATATTTGCATACATTTGCAGTGTTCCATGTGTGTTTATGAGTGTATCTGTGTGTGGGTGAGACATGTGAGTGTGTGTGTGTGGGTGAGTCGTGTATTTGACCGCCTGTTCTTGACATCACTAAAAATACTTTACACAACGAATATGTCGAATATCTGCTACTGGCTCGATTTCGAATCGACTTGATGCAGCACAAAATAATAATAGGCCTCGTACACAGGATTTATGCATTGCATATGTATGTGTGTGCATGTGTATATGTCTATGTGTGTGCGTGTGTCATTATTTTGTGCGTTTTATTAAATTTACCAACGTTTTGGGCCCTCTTTAATGACGAGTCTAACCAACTATTTATGTCGCTTGTCATGTAACTGACTCCCACAGCTCACGCTCGCACCTACAGGCGCCCCCTTAC